CCTGAAATAGAACAACAGAACTAACTGGTGGTTAAATGAAACTATGCCAATTCAATACTCGTATGCATTTAGTTTTCAACTTGGACGATACTATACACAGAAATTGAAAATTTATGATATACTCTGATGATTCTCCTTCACTTTGACACAGTAGTAATAATTTCCTTGTATTATGGAAATTTTTATTTACTGAAGAATTTTGTAACATAGGGGCCAGCCAGAAACTACAATGCTAAGCAAACTTATAACAGGCAAATCACCTCCCAGCCATGTTTTTTCTTTTTATTTCTTAAATTTAGATACACAGTGCATTTAAATAAAATTCTACAATACTAATTTAGGTTTTTGAGACATTTTATTTGTAATTTTCCATTTCATTAAGCTCAGTTATCCTTGTCAAGTTTAAAACCCCAATACGTATGTTATACGATATTACACTTAGTAACTTCCAAGAAATAAAGTGAGTGGATGCTTCATATCAAAGTAGGACCATATTGCAGGACTGATAAAAATGAGAAGGCAGAAATCTGGTTTTGGAATCCTGAGCTGAGCAACAGTTCATGCCTTTTAAATGACCAAGCTGCCCAGGAGTTAATGGAAAATTTTTGGAAAGCTGTGGATATGCTATGGCCCTCATGTCTCTCCAAAAGGAAAATGCTCAGTGCTACCCAAACATAATTCCAGCAACTAGAACACAATGTTCTATAAGGAAAGAACACACACGTGCCATATTTATGCCATTCATTAAGGAGCAAAAGCCTGGCTGACAAAACTGATTTAAGACTTTTTCGATAGGCTGAAAATATATGGGGATTTATAAAATACATGATCATAAGAGTTTTAGATTAGATTCAAAATAGATTGTTTAGTAAGTAATGCAACCATCATTTAAAAATATTTTACTTAAAAACAGACAATTGCATATCTGGATATAAAAGATATGAAAGATGTAGATGAAAAACTCTACAAAGAAACATATAATCAGAATCCTTACAAATAGCAAGTTATATAAAAATCTTTTCTTAGGGAATTAGACAACTTTTGAGTTATTACAGTTTGTGTTCTGATTGTGTAAAGACATATACTTCTCCTTAATCTTACTGCCAGGCGTTTGATAATATTTATTGACAGTTACTGATTCTCATTTAAAACTAGTAATCTGTGCTGTGCATCAGTGGATTTCTGCAGTGGGGTACCCATGGATCTGTTTTGTTTTACTTCCATCAGAAGAATCAGAAGTAGAGTGCTAAGTTGGCTGCCTACATATGAGTCAAAGAAAGGTGACCGTTGTTGGCTGCCCTACACTTCGATAGCATGGAAGGGCAATGCATGCATGATGATTTTTTAGTAGCCAGATGTGGAACATGCAGCAATATGAGAGAAAGTGGGGCACTGAATATTCGGCCTAGAATCACTGAGATCTCACTTGATGCCTAAGGGCACAGAAAGAAAAGGCCAGAGGAACATGCATCATTCTCATCTAAGAGAATGAAGATGAGTTTCTTCCAGGGGATGTCAATGGCTCGAAACCCTAGCCAGCCTTAGTGTGATCCCACTGAAGGCTTTTTCAGCTTTTCCCTCATTCTGCCCTGTGATTGCCATGTAGATAACTAATAAAAAATGAAGCAAGAATGGTTGATGGAGACTAGAACCAATGCTCTTTCTCAACAGTTCCCTGATCTGAGGCTTCTAAATTCTCTAGTCGCCATCACAGAAAAGGGAGAAACCTTAATGCTAAGTCACATACAGTTTTGACAATTATGTAGGAAGACATTTTTAGTATTCATCTAAGAACTTTTATTACCTGTTACTAACCAGAAAGTCCCAGGGCATGCCATAATTTTCTTTCAAGCTGCACTCAATCAAGTACAAGATAAAATTATTTAATGAATTGGGCTTGTTCCATGGAATTGTGTGTGTATGTGTGTCTGTGACAGAAAAACAGAGAGAGACTGACAGAGACAGAAACTGAGAAAATTTGTCTTTTAAAGTGTGACCTTGGAGATGTATCTTTTGACGTCAGTAAGTTTGTGCTCATAATTTCTTCACTGAGTATAAATTTTATATTTTAAAAATTGATGGGCCCTAGTTTGTGAACTAGTATTGTGATACTGTGTTTAAATCTTGTCTTCACAGTAGCACAAAAAGCATGATTTTGTAAAGCCTTAGAAACACTGTGCACCTAATATAGATGTGGTGAGCTAATTGCAGAATTGCTGGTATGTCAGTTAGATGCACTTGGCTTCAGTAGAGAGAATACCTTTTCTCTAGAGGTTTTATTGTTTCTACATATTTCCCTTCATTTTGTCACTAAATGCAGTTCTGGAAGACAAGCACTTTATACTTTTATTTTAACTATGGGATTTGGCGAGGACATTATATTTATGAGATTAATTTTACTTTGTGCCAGTTAATGCATTGCAAGATTTTTCTTGAAGTATTGAGTCATTACTTCATATGATGAGAGGATTTCTGTAAAATACTGAACTTTATGGGATAGAATCAAAGTTGTTTTTTATTCCCTTTCTCAGGAATATTCTTCATAATAATGCCATATGACTTCTTTCTTTCCTACATTCAGAGACTCTCCTATCTTTGAATTTAAAATAGGACTGAGTTATTTTCTTTTTCTTTATTCTGCTTTATTTTTCTGCTTAATGCCTGCTGTATATTTACATTTTTTAAATTGCTCTTTAGACTTTACTAAAACACATTTGGCAACAAGAGGAGTTTGATCTTCTTCACAGTAATCATCTTAGAATCTAAAACATTTTGGATTGATGTATAAACAATGAAAATACTTACGTAATTTATAGTGTTCCTGTTGAGAAATATTGAAACAGTTGAACTTGTATGACTCCAAGTTCTTTGTCTCATTAAATTTAACAATAAAAGAATGGACAAAAGTACAAGGGGCGTATTTTAAAAAGGTATTTCTGTAGGTGTAGGATTTAAAGCAAGTTAGTTATCTAGCTCATTCAAAGGAAACTGTTGCTTTGTATTTTCAAGTTTTTCTAAGTTTGCTAAGAAGGAATTACCTCCTTCTTTAGAGGAAGGATACTAATTTCTCTATTTCTGTCCTAAATTTTTATATTTTGTACTCATGTTTCCTTTTACATCTCTAGATTTGGCTTAGCCACTTGAATTAGCTCTTAATCTAGGTGGACTATTTTGCTTTATTTGACTATATCCTTAGATTGCTCTTAATATAGGAAAACTATAACTCCCAACCTGTTAGATGTCAGGTGTGTTGAGTGTGTGGTCTTTAATGAAGTTGGGAACAAATGGAGAGTTTTACTGAAACAAGAGAGAGGAATAACTCCTGGATTTCCAGGAGGGATCCCAAGTGGGCTGTCACCAAGAATCTTAGTCAAGAATAATTTATACATCTAAGTCACAGCATAGCTACCACGTGGGTCAAACTACAATCAACCTATAGGATCACAAGTATAGTCATTTAGCTAATATTGACCTAATAGGGCGATAGGAAAATTGGAAATAAGAGAGTAGGAAAATAGAAAAATGATCCAACAGGGAAATAGTCATGAAGCAAGGGTACATGGAAAGATAGAAAAATTCTTGGAAAGGCAGGGGAATATGGATCTTGATGGTCTGATCACCCAGTTATGTGTCTGATGCCTATCTGGGGCCCACTGGACCAATTGGTGCTAATCACAGTATAATTTTGAGTTGTCATTTATATCCAGGAGTACGTACAGGCTTTGCTATTACTTTTCCATTGTGAGGCCTGGTTCTCTTGATTTGCCACTAGCCATAGTTCTAGTATCTTTATTCTTGAGGACTCAATGCCTCTTTGACTGTATATTAATTTCTAACTTAGCTGCCTATAAAGAATACCTTGCCTAGTCATAATAATGACACTAAATTACTATAATATTAGACATTGTCTTAAAACATGCCTTGTATTAGAGTTAAAACAAGGACTTGGTGAAGTTACCCAGGGGTACTAAGATAGCAGCTCTCATAGGCATGTTACCCTTATTATTTACTCTCTTATCTAGCACTTGTTACTGGCCTGACTTAGTACTAAGTACTTAATATGCTCTGTGTCATTTACTATTCCACAGTGCACTGTGTCTCACTACATGTACTGCTGCCTCACTAAACCAATTAAACTGCCTTCATAACTGGCTCAGGTCATATAGAAGATGAATGTGCTAAGAGCAGGACTCAAATTCCTGTTGGCCTAACCCCAACACGGACTTATTTCCAAAAGACTCACTGTGATTTTTACAATTACATAAAATTGAATCTGGCAAGGGAAAAAATTGGCAGACAAATTAACAAACAGTGATGGTACAAAGCTCTGTATGCTACTTATATACAATTACAAAAATAATTAATGGGATGCATACAATACAGTTAAGCATGGAGTGACTCATTGCAGAAACAAGTGTGTATCTTACCTTCAGTATATAAAAACACAAATTGAGAAACAGCAACAAATTTATGAAGCCAAAACTAAAAGTTCATCTCAGAGAGTTCTCTGTACAGAACAACAACAAAAATGTTTGGGAAGTATGAGTTGATTGGTTGGATCTTTGTGTGTGTGTGTGTGTGTGTGTGTGTGTGTGTGTTACTCACACACATACACAACCGCATGGGTCATACATTTGGTGTAAAGAAAAGAGTTCTAGGTTTGCCAAGAGGTTTGAGTGCTTATGCTAAAGCTGTGTATTATAGCCTTTGATTAGCAAGAAAATGTACAAGGTCCACTGGAGTTCTGAGGCTAAATTGCTTGGATCTGTCTATTAGATTTGTGATCTTGAGTCAAAATTTTAGTGCTTTCATTTTCTTAAGTATGAATTGGGTTACGAGGATTAATTAAATATTACATTAAAGTTTTTTGACTAGTGCTTGCCATATGGTACGCAAATATTGGATCCTGCATCTCCAAGCCCCCTAAAAGGTCCCCTGAATTTTCTTTCACCTTTGGGGAGCTAACAGGCTCCCTCTGCTGGAGAGAACAGGGTCAGGACCGGCTGAGCCTCCCGGTTGCTATGGGTACCAAAGTAACAAGGTCGCTAAGGAGACCAAAGCGGAAACTGAGGAGCAGGCTGGCTGAAGTGGCAAAAGGCTGGGGTCTCCGGTGAGCTGGCCGTTGCAGTGAAGGGTGGAGGTGGCTGGCAAGGGTCTCGGGTCGTGAGAGCGGGCAATGAGCCGGATCGGGATGGTGAGAGGGGCAGGGCAACGCGAGAGGAGAGGAGGTTGGAGAGAAGTAGGGGGCGTTGGCTCCGCTGGCCTGGGCTCCACAAGGCCGGACCAGCAGACAGCCAGACCCAGGCCTGGCACGGTGGTTCCAAGCCTGCCCCGCTTCTTCATTTAATACACAAAAGACTTCTCAGTGCGTGTTACTGAATGGAGGGAGAAACAACAAATCCAGGGCCTTCCTCAACTGGATACTGCAACCCCTGCGTTAGTTCCTTTTATCCTCTTAAATCATTGGTGCTTTATGGAAATTTTGATTCACTGAGAAGCCTTATCATTTTATCCTCTGAAGTTTTTTTTCCCTTTCCTGTCCACTTGTACCCACTTCATTCTTGAAATCTACTTTTTAAGTAAAGGCTACATTTAATGGTGGGTTACTGAGAAATCTGAAGCCGTGGAAGGTTTTTTTCTTTCCAAAATAATCATTAGAGGCATGTGTGTGATATGTATATATGACATATATATGTATATATATGCTTTATTTTTAATCTAAAGTTAGCAAGTCTTTGAAAAAGTTTTAAAAAGTTGAAGCTACACAGGATTAAAATTATACAAACCATATGCTTACAGAAATTTAAACCCCCTTCACCTTTTAAAAATACTTAATCTTACAGGCTACAGAAAAACCTCCCCTTATTTCCCATAGTATTATTAGTTGTGCTATAAGTTAATTACATGAAATGAAGTCTTTTGTTTTCTTCCATCAGGAGATTTGGAATTATATTATTGGCTTTTACGTATTTTCCTATTTTCTTTTTTTTTGTTTTCCTATTCTCTGTACCACAGTATATGTTCAATAAAGATTTGCATCCTGCCTAGTTAAGCTTGTTTATCAGTACTTAACTTGATGCTGGGCACAGGGGGATGTTTAAAACTCAACACATTATTAGAATTGCACTCCGTGTGGATGGTTTCCTAAGTGCTGGTGATTCTGAGATTGATAGTAAGATTATCCTGAAATATTTGAGCTACTTAAGAAAACAGAACTTAGACAAGCCATGATGCAAAACACACACACACCCACACAAAGCAGCATGAAATGGCAAATGAGCTCAATACATGTGAAAATACATGAGGAGAAGCTCATTTTGATACTGGAAATTTTCAGGAGATGTTTTTAAATAAAATTTGCCTAGTAAAGAGGTAGGAAATAAAGTAGAAGACTTAGGAAAATTGTGATCTGAAGATCTTAAGTGTTAAGCAGAATAACTGAGTGCAGTTTTTCTATGAGTGTGGAGAATTATTTAAAGACAAAAAATTAGTAACTTTATATTACTTTAATGCAATTTGATTCTAAAATGTTTTCAAAAGTGTTTAGAAATAATGCTGTAAATATTTGAAAAAAGTTAGTATCAAATAATTTTTCTCTAAGTTTCCTTTGCATATGTGACAAGTGAAGAATACAAAAGAGAAGAATATTTACTGACAAATCTCTCGAACAATGTGAATTAATTATTTTAAGTACATAAAACCGTATTTAGAGCTAACAGCACAGGGGAGTTTGTCTTTGTTACTTTCCTTTCATTGCTAAGACAAAATACATGGCACACAAAATTAAACAGGGAAGATTTTATTTAGTTCATAGTTTGTAGAGGTTTCAGCCCTAACTGGCTTACTCCAAGGCAGGGTGATGTGGCAGACAGGCATTACAGAAGAGAAACAGTTCACAGCAGGCAGAAAGTAGCAAAGCAACAAGGGACAACTACAACTCTTTCTGTCCCTTGTACTTTATGCAGGCTACTTAAGGAGGGTATAACTTAAGGTAGTATCCTTAATCCTAAGTGTCCTTGAGCTTAGCATTCACCATGGATTAATTCCAGCATCACATACTCAATATCAAGCTACCTCTGAAAAAGCCCCATCTATGACTACAAGAGGCTTTGGGAGGACATCTAGACAGAAGTCATAATGAAAAAATAGTGATTTCTGCTTTTATCACGTCTTAAATCTGTGCTTTAATTCTCTGAGACCTAAAATATCCATGAGAAAACACATGAGGTAAAAGATTGTATGAGAATGAATAGTCCAAATAATTTAATATGCTTTTGGTTTCAGAAAGGAGTGATTAATAAATGCAACACTTTGTAATTATACAAGATTCTTGCTGAGTGTGGCACATACCTGTAATCCTAGTACTCAGGAAGCTGAAGCAAGAGGATTGATGTGAGTTCAAGGCCAGCCTGGACTACATAGTGAGTTCAAGACTAGCCAGAATGACATAGCAAGACCCTATCTTAAAGCGGAATTAATAATAATTATGTAGTATATTTCTTTATTATCATGCCATTCATATTTTTTTTGGAACTATGGAAGAGTTCACACAATATAGACCTAAGGCTACATTATATAAAAGACATGAAAGGAGAGCTACAGGTGTAACGCTCTTGGCATTTGTCTCACTGCCTTCACAGGTATTTTCTTATGCTATCTCTTTTTTGGGAGTCTTTTAGGGGACCAGAGCTTTATAGGCCATGGATCAGAGAACTTTTGTTTAATGTCTGTTATGGTTGATCCATTGTGTCAATTTGAGAAGTTTAGAAGTTTAACTTAGAGACCCAGCAGGGAGGCAAGATCTTTACTTTGTAAATATCCTCACTTTGTGCAGTAGGAGGGCATAGAGTGGTGGGGGGAGGTGGTAGCCTGCTTACAATATAAAGGAGGAAAAGAGGCTTGTTTCCCCACTTTTGCTCTGGCTGCTTGTGATTATTGCTACCTTGAAGTGTTGCCCCGTGCCATGCCACCTTGCCTTGGAGCCAGCTGATTATGAATTGAAACCTCCACAAACTGTGGGCTAAGTAAACCTTTCCTTCCTTCATTTTGAGTGTCAGTATTTTGTCCCAGCAATGAATGAAAAGTAACTAAGACAGTGTCTTGCCCATTTTATGGTAGCAGGCCTTGAAGGAACATCAAATCCACATGGACAATTTGGGGTCATATTAGATAAGTTACATGTGAGTAAAAATGGGGTTGGGGAAGGAAAACAGTACTATCTAATAAATGTATCTAGAAAAACTTCCAAATCACTTCTAAACTTTAGTATTTAATTGTAGAAAATGAAATTGAGTGACCAAAGAACACAAGAAATTATGAGGTTTTCATACTACAGAGTTTATCTCCCTGAATTCATAGGTAACTAAACTTTTGTGCTTTGTTATTCATGCTCCTGACATTGTTAGAGACTCTGTCCCAAGAAAGGTGACTAATTCTCTGTTGGCTTCAAGAAAGGAAACAGGCAGAACAGATGACTCACAATTATAATCTTCCTTTTTTTTCTCCATTCAGGAAAATTGGCTCACTTGTCTAACTTGATAAAAGATTTAATTGAAAAGAAGCCTTACTAATTGCATTCAGGGAAGTGAAACGCCCTTGAAAAAGACCATTGACTGATTAAATAACATTATCAGCAGAGCTATTAATCTGAATAATTTCATTCTAATGAGCTTTAGAGGATAATCTTCCATGCTTTGTATGAGTAAAAATCAATCATTGTGTATCATTTTGACTTTATGCATAAATACATATAAATAAAATTATATATGTCAGTGTGTGAATAAAATTAGGGCAATTAAGATTATTTTTATTAATCAGTGTGATTAGCTGTGAGGATTTAAGTATGTTTTCAATGATAACAACAGAGGAATTTTGGGAGGATTTTCAGGATAGATAAGATTTATCAGTTAAATTTCCTGAATATGATTAGAAAGAGGTATAGATCCCTGTCATTGAGAACGATTTTTCCTGAAGGCTTTTTAAAAGTAGCTTTTGTAACCTTTATTTAATAAAAGTAGATCTAAGTAATTTCTATAATGATGATTGCTTAAATTGGATGAAGTAATAGAGTTTCATTTGAAAATGCTGCCATCTCTTTCCCAAAATGCAAAGCAAAGCTGAGTTTTCCATCTCTGGAGTATTTTAGCTCTCTGAAAGTTATCTTAATTTTTATAGCCAGGACTTCATGTGAAAAATAAATCTGTTATATGCCTTCCTTGAATACTTCCTTCTGTGAGAATCATGAGATAATGTCTTATTTGCTGTTCTGGCCTTGCTATCTTAAACAGAAATCAAGAAGGAATAGATAAATACACATTGTTTTGTCTTTTTCCTTTTTTTAATTGGTACCGGGGATCGAACTCACGACTGCCTGCTTGCAAGGCAGGTGCTTATACCGCTGAGCTAAATCCCCAGCCTCCTAAATACACATTTTTTGATTACAGGTCCTGTAATCAAATGTAATCAAATGATGTAACCACTATACTGCTTAAAATGCAAATTCGTTTCTATAATTCAATTTTGCAATTATCTTCAAAGAATAAATTTCTTTAGAATTTTCTCTAAAATGGTAAAATCTACTCATTGAAGTTAGTTTTGAATGATTTGGAGCCAAATGTAAGTGGATAAAATAGCTGATCTTGTTCCAAAACATTTTGATTTTTTTCTTTTCCTTTTCAGTTTGCTTTAAATTGACACAAAATATTTATATGTATTTATAGAATATGGTATGGTGTTTTATATATATATTGTATTTGATCATCAAATTAACATTTCTACCTCCTTAAACATGAATCATTTATATGTGTTGGAAAGCTTGGGTTATTTTGTTTCAGTTATTTGAAATATTACATATACTGTTCTTGACCTACTAATTTATCTAATTAAAGAACTAATTCCTTCTAATTGTTGAGCTTATTCTCATCCCAATTATCCATTGTATCCTTTTTAAGTTCTTGAGATCTTGCATCAATGTAAACACTTTATTTTTCACATTTTATCTCCCAAGTCAGGTCATGATAAAACTTGCGCTTACTGTCTTTAGTACACTGCCCTTGCTAGAAGAAGGCACACAGCATGGGCTTGGGATCTGCACCTTTACTTATTTTTTGAGCAGCAACGACAGGTTTAAAGAGCCATGTTAACTCCTGCAATTCTTTCTTCTTATCAACTTTCTTCAATTTCTTTTCAGCGTCACTCTGTGCTACCTAATGTGATATCTGTGCTCTGAGCCCTTTCCATTCCTCTCCTCTTTCCCCTCACAGTCTTTAGTGACTGTCATTTCATTCTTATTTTCCATAAAGTCAAATTTTTTAGTTTGCAAAAATTAGTGAGAGCATTGAATCATTTTTACTTGGTTAATTTCACTTTACATAACATCTTGCTAGGCTGTATGTTGTTGCTAAGGACAAAATTTATATTTTTGTGGATGAAAAACTCATTTTTCTATCATTTATATTTATATCTATATCTGGTAAATGAAAAATATGATACATAACTTCTACATTGTGATCTATAGTATTTATATGAATTTACATCTCTACTAACAGTGTCCTGCATTAAAAAAAGTTCCCATTTCTCCATATCCTTGATGCATTTTAAAATTTTATCTATTTTTGATAATAGACATTTTAATTGGGTAATGTAACATTTCACTGTAGTTAGATTTATACTCCCTTGATGAGTAGCAGTTGCCAGGGTCCAGCTCAAGATTCCCAACTGCCTGTATGAGGGGTACAGCAAAGGATGAAATAAGAGACAGAGACAAATATAGCAATGTGTAAAGTGGGGCTGGGAAGTCAGTACCTCAGGATGTACCTCAGGATGGGTAAAGACAAGGACCACTTTAGCTAAACCACTATTTATTGAGCATATACACACTTTTTCAGAGGGGGTAGTGTACTCTTCCTGGAATAGGGTGGTAACTGCTGTGGGCTGTAAAAGAGAACAAAGCATTCTTACACGGATGAGACAAGGGTCAATAAACAAACTGTTCTTTTCCACAGGTGAAACTTTTACTACTGTTACTGCATTGCTTTAAAGGTCTTTGTTGTCCTCAGCAGGTCTTATCTTGGCTTGTAAGTGCCACCGTGTCACTAGTGTAGTTCAGCTGTGACCAGAAGAAAGTGGGGAGCTTCCACATTACAGCTTATAGGGCGGGGCAAAGCCAGCCTTGGACATCCTCTAGACTGAGTTTATAATTTGTGGTTCCCAGCAACTGGTACTGAGCATTTATTTATTTTTAATTGACAAAGTGCTTCACATATTTATGAGTTGCCAAATAACATTTTGATAATATATATATATATACATTGTATAATGTTCAAAACAAGATGAACACATCTGTCAGCTCAAATATTTATAATTTCTTTGCTGTGAAAACATTCAAAATCATTTCTTTCAGCTTCTTTTGAAATACACAGTATTTAGCATTATTTATAGTTGTTTGGCTGTGTGCACTCACCAGAATTTATTTTGCCTATCCAACGTATACCTCAGACCCATTAATTAAGCTCTCTCTCCTTCATGATTTTCTCCTCAAACCCTAGTAACTACTACTGTAGTTAATACTGAGTACTTGTTCAAATACTTGATCCTGTATTTGTCCCTTTTTAGAGAAATTCTTTGCAACTCATTAATCCATTTTAAAGCTGAATTATTTGGGGGTTTTTTGCAGTTGAGTTGACTTTCTTATGTATTCTATATCTTAGTATCTTCTCACATGAATCATTTACAAATACTTTATCCCATTTTGAAATGAAGCACAAGAAAATATATTCATACATTTGTTAAGTATATAATGATCTCTCCTGAGGTTATAAAAGAGTTATTCCAAAAGTGTTTTCATCATTAATTGCACCTTTGGAATATGAATGGCCTTCTAATAGAACAATATTGAAAACTACTCATTTCATTATATAGGCCTCTGTTGTTTAATCCAATTTTCCTTCCATTCGCCATAAGTCTTAGACCAAAGTTCATAAACTTGACTTCTGTTTTTCTCTCCAAAATTTTCAGATTCTTATTAGCTACAAAAATAAACTCTAAATATTTGAACTTGGTATTTAAACTAGCCACTATTGAGCATCTGTTTTTATTTAAATCTTTGCTTGTTTTTTTCCTTCCATTTGCTCTGCACACCAAACAACTGATTATAAATTTCCATTGGAGAGATTTTCCCCCATAAGATTGAATGCTCAACCCAATTATGCCTCCACCAAGAAGCTACTTTTCTTTTTCAAGGCTCCTCCTAAAAACTAGATAGCTTGAATTCTCTCCTTTCTCTCATTTTTCTAGATTATTGTATCTGTAATTTTATGGCCATTAAAATTTGTACCTTGTTTTATGGTTTCTATACTAGTCTTATATGTGCTCTTTGACTCTAACCCATTTGAGTTCAGAAAAGGAATTTCTTTAGGCCTTGACTTCTCCATCTCTCTCAGCACTGTGCCTGACATAGAGCAGAGCTTTAATAAATATTTACTTGAATTATGTGTGCTAAGGAACCCATATATACACTGACAGCTTCAAGTGGGTTAGAAACTTAAGAATATAGTTCTACCACATTTAAGAGCTTTTGGAATATAGAAATTTTTTCTTCATATAAAAATCTAGTGGTTGTACATGTGATTTAATTACAGCATTAGAGAGTAAATTGTTGTAGAACCATGAATAATTGGGATACTCACGAACCAGGGTGTTCGGAATAATTTAATTTTCTGGATAGCTCAGAGTTAGGCAGAAAACCCATTTTATTTCATTTTTCCATGAAAAATTCTTTCTGAAATATGCTATTTTCTGATTTTATCAAAGAGAAACATTAAAATTTTCTTTGATAAATGAGGACATTAGAGTGCATTTTGGTAATTATTACACACTTTAGTTCTCATTTTAGATTACCCTATATGTAAGAAATTTGAGGGAAATGGCTTTGGATTGTGTCTAAACATTCTCACTTTTCAATATTTAGCTTTGTATGTTACTTTTGAATAATAAAAAATGCTTGATATATATATATATATATGTTCACACATTGTACATTCTGAGAACAAATATTACTAGGTGATTTTTGTCATTGGGGAAACATGATAGAGTGTATGTACTCGAGAAAAGATGGATATGATGCTGATAGATGAAATATTCTTAAGGGATCATGGATGGATATGTGGGCTGTTGTTTTCTGAAACATTGACTTTTTCTTTTCGGGTACTGGAAATCAAACTCAGGACCTTGGGCTTGCCAGGCAGACGCATGCTGTTGAACTGTATCCCTGGCCTGCTGAAACATTGAAATAAAGCATATGACTTTAGATAAACTTTTATAATCTTAATGATAGAAAGAGCTAGAATGTGTCCTTTAGCTTGTCTTAATGAATATATTCTTTAACTTCCAGAATATTTTCCAGGTCTTTTGTTATATGTAAATTTTCTTAAAATTTTGATTTAATCAAATATACTTATATAATTTATATTTAATATATATGACTTTTTTGGTATTTAATCTTTGATTCAGCCTTTTTCCCTCATAGATTTCTGTTTTTATAGTTTTCTGAATTATGTGTAGTTTTGAATTTATAACTCACATATCTTTACCTCTGGCATAATTCTTTTGTTTTGTTGTTTTTCAGAAAAATTAGTCTTACCAACTGGAATATTTTTACCAATATTAGCAATAATCATGAACACTAAAGATTTTGTAGTTCTTCCATGGGGAAAATCTGGAAATTCTATAAAACTAAAATATAAGTAAGTACATATATATTTATTTTTTAAAGTAAGAATCATAAAGTGTTATATGTTATCCTTTTTATATGAGAACTCTTGAACTCAAATTTCATAAATTCTTAACTATTTTCTTCACATTGTTGTATTTTTATCTAGAGTAGATTTTACATATTATTATCTATAGTAGATTTTATAATGACAATAATATTGTTTCTATAAGAATCAAACTGAGAATTTATAAATAAAGTTTGGATTACAGGCTATCAAGCTAATGCAATCAAAATTTAAAGATATTTTTATGACCCTATTCAAAGTTAAAAAGAATCACCCCTAAATTAGAGATACATTGAAATTAGTGTAGGAGATCTTTAATTTATTTACCCTAGTCTTTTGGATAAAGAACCTTAGATTGAACACATCTTTCCAGGAAGAATATCATCTGTACTTGGATTGACTGGGAGATGCATTCAGCAAAGCCAGGCAATTCTGAGTATCCTGTGACTTCCTTAAGAAAGTCCATAGGCTTGGAAGGGATCAGCATAGTGTTCCCTTTTGAGATTACCAAAAGTCACTGGAAGTCTTTAGGGTCTTTCTCTGAGATGCCACCATGAGCCAGCCAGCATAGGTTTGGGACAGCGTTGATTTTTTTTTTTTCCAGAAAGGGTCTCATTATGTATTTGGCCTTGAATTAACTATGTAGCTCAGGCTAGTCTTGAATTTACAGCTATCCTCCTATCTCAGTTTCCCAAGTGCTAGGATTACAGGGATTACCACACCCAGTGGACAGTGTTGGTTTTTAATTTTAGGTTTTAAATTCCTTGATACAGGTCAGAGCTCTGATCCACAGTCATGTGGCTATTTATTATTTTGTTGTTTTCATAATCATCTCTTTCCTATTGAGAATAACTGGGTATAAAAGCATTGTATACTTGATGTGGTTATGCACATTTGTAGTCTTAGAACTCAGGGGACTGAGGCAGGATTGTCTAGAGTTTGAGGCAAACCTGGCTACATAGTGAGTTTAGAGTACAAAAGCCAAAAAAAAAAAAAAAAAAGACATTTTGTAACTTGGAAAGTGCTACACAAATATATGGTATTATTGTTATTAGATATACCTTTTTTTTGCTGTAAAGGGACCTATGTAATTTCTAGTTCTATCATTTTGTTTTTTTAAAACAAAACAGAATGTACATGAATTATTCAGTGATTTGCCACAACCTTATATCTGTATCTGTAAATAGTCATTCAAAAGCATAAGTACACATGTCTTACACACTGTAGAAGGAATTTAAGTCTTCCTTAAGTAGTTTGCAGAGTATGTGAAGAAGTATAATTACATTGACAAGATAATGTGAAGCAAGGTATGGTGTGTAGACACAGAGGTCTAGGAGAACTTGGTTCAAACCACTTGGGCATAATATATCCAAGTTTTACCTGAGAGGTGCATTTAGTTGGGCAGTTGCTGGGTGAAACTTTTGTAAAGGCTCATATACTGTAGTTTGTGGACTTTTCAGTCATATCCAATCAGCTGTGATTTACAAAACCAAGTTAGAGGGAAAGGAAGGTTCTAATTCGCATAGACCATGGTGAGAGTGATACAGTTTTCTAGCCTGAAAATCTTCCTACCATCCATGATCCACACACCCACAAAAAACAAGATAGGAACATCAATGCTGTGCTAATTTCTATAAAGCTTTCTTGCTTAGCATTTCCATTTCCAAGTTTATTTCATTTGACATTGTCTGGCATGCTGGTGTTATCCTTATCTTGTTTACCATTTTCCAAGCTCCAATTAATTTCACTTTGATTTTCAGCTCTTCTATTTGTTGTGCTGATGTGGTCTCTCCAGAATTAGCCTTAGCTTCTGTCAGTGGCCTTACCTACTTTGCTAGTTCTTATGTGTAAGGGTGCTTCCAGGAGTACTCCTTGGATTTTTGTAAGATTCACAGAAGCCAAACCTGGCCATTTGCTCAATAGTTGAATCTTTCCCTCTCTGCCTTTTTTTTTTTTTTTTTTTGAGTAAGTTTTTCTTATTTTCCTAGTGGTGGCTTTAAAAATGTTTTAATTCTCCCAAGAAAATGAGTAACATAATCATGTTTTTGCTTTTGAATTGTTCCTTTGAAAGCATATCTGAAGTTCTACAGGCTGTTTAGACTTTGGTTAGAGGCTTTGGGTAGGGACTAGTACTAAATGGTGCCCCCAGCCCGTGTCAGTATATTCGAGTTAAGAGAATGTAATCATTATCCTTCTGACTGTTGAAGTAGGCAGTCTGGGATTATTGTAGATGTCATTTTTCTCCCCACCTGGTAAGTCACCTACTTTAGCTAGTGTGAAGTTCAATTAATTCCATTGAACATTTACAATTTTTCTCTCTACTGTCTCCCTCATTCAGACCAACTCCGGATCTTTATTATTTAAATTACTGGAAGACTTAACTACTAAATGGCTATCTTGTTTCCAGCCATGCACTCTTTCATTGATTTTCCAAAATGCAGTTAGTAAACTCTGATCAGTTTTTAGAATCTGTTAAGGGTCATCACCGTTTGTAGCATAGAACCCCAATTCTTCCTCATAGCTTCCTAGGATCTTCCTACTTTGATTCCTGTCCACTTCAGGAGTCCATTTATTGCCATTATCTCTGTATTATACATAAGGCCTAGTCACGTGGCCCTGTAAGTTTCTTGTCTCATCCATTAATTTTTGCTCCCATGTCTCCTTACTGGAGTGATGCTCATAATTTGTCCCTTTGACTGGCTCAGCCTTTTCATCCTTCAGGTCTCAGGTCAGAATTTGCTTACTCTAGGAGCTATTCCTGTCGTCCAAAAGCTGAAGCACATGCCCTTTCTGTGTGTCCAGGTAGCATTATTTCTCTCTAGTGGAAACACCATTATTCTATATTTCAATTACCTCCATGCTTTCTGTATTTGTTTCTGTACTGGAAAGTTCATTATGTTTCATCTCCTGTCATGTGCACAGTGTTTGTGTGTAGTAAGGGCTGAATTTCTCCTTTTGGAGAAGATATAATAAAAATAATGGTGATTCCTCTAGCTGTTTGTGTTTGAATGTCTCACAAAGCCTGCTATTGTCATGTTGGGGGATGCTTTTCCAAGGTGGCTGAATCTGGAGTTTGTGATTGGTTCACCATCTAGTGCTGGGATTAGTGATGTGAGTGCTTTACAGGCCCTCAGGGTAAAGCAGAGCGGGTAGCCTGCATGGGTTTGCTTCTCCCATTGCCCCTTTTTTGCTCTTGTTGCTTTTGGTGTCTCCTGCTGCCATGAGCTGTTGTCCCTCTGCCATGCCACCCTCTGGAGCCACCTGATTATGGACTGGAACCTCCACAATTTGTGAGCTAAATAAACTTCTTCCTTAATTTTGCGTATCTGTTATTAGGTCTTAGCAACAATGGAAAAGTAACCAAGACAGTCCCTTTAGTCATGGCCTGATTATCTGAACCTTTTGCCTCTGATCCATTTTGAACTATTTGTTTTATACCACTTAACTGTTTTTGATGGCTTGCCACTTCTATAAATTAGTTCTCTTTCTGATCTCCTTTGTGTGTGTGTATGCACATGTATGTGCATGTGTAAGTGTGTGTGTATGTTACTCAAGGTTGAATTGAGGCTTCTACTGAGCCACAACCCCAACCCTTTTTAATTTTTGTTTTGGAATGGGCTGAATTTGAACTTGTAATCTTCCTGTCTCGGCTTTCTATATTAGAGATGCTTAGTTTAGTTCCACATCATAATGTTTATGGGTATTCATGCTATGTGATTATAATAAAACACTAATGTAACAATGGAGAAAAATATTTAAACTCATGATAGGTAATAAAAGCTAAATAATTATATTAGCTTCTATTTGTGGAAGAGTCAATGCAAGGCAGTACAGAAATTAGAAAATAGTTTTCTGTGGGTGAGTGTAATAGATATTTGCATATATAAAGAAGTAGTTCATACATAAAGTGAATTATAGTTTTAAACCCATAGCCACAAAATAGTAAAAATAGGATGCTTTGATTAAAGAATATTATTAGGATGCAAATGCTAACTGTATAACCATATTTTTAAAAATGTAAAGGAGTAGTGAGTTAATTATTTCATTTTTAATGATAATTTTAATTTAAGATCAAAAGATTAAAGTTATTTTGTCTTAGGCTCTGTTTGTTTACTTCAAATAAACATTCTACATTTAAATCTCATATATTCAGAAATGTTCAAGAACTGCAAATGGAGAAGATACAATTGGAATTGGAGAACCAAGAGTTGGAAAGGAAATTACAAGAATTCAAGTCAACAAAGAGTAGAGAAAAGAAGGAAATGAAGTGGGTACATTTTTTAGAGAATTTCTGAGGAATAAACTAAATTATAGGAAGAACTATTTTATATGCTATTACTCTAATGAATATATTTGGCCTGTAGCTCATTTCTACTTTTCTTAATGAATAAGGAATGGTAAATTCTTACTAATATTATTTACCATTTATAGTAGGTACTTTTCTTTTAAAGATACCATGCTTTTGTTTCCCCTACATTTTTTGTCCTATCATTTCCTATTTCTTTTCTTACGTTACACTTCTCAATGATTTATGTTCTGGTAGGTTTAGGACAGCAATGGAAACTTTTTCTTTTGCATAAAGATGACTGATATCAACTTCACATAAAGAGAAGTTCATGTGATCATAATATATATCTGAAATGTACCAATTAATAAGAAAAGAAAGACACAATAGAAGAATATGAATAGAAAAAAAGGAATTGTTTATGGGTGTTTTCTCTATTAAAAGTTTTGCGGGGGAGACGCATGCAGTTGCCTTCATCAAAATCATTTAAACCAAAAGATAAGTTTGGAATATTTTTTAAAAATTACAGATAACTAAAATATTATTAATAAAAGTTCCTTAATGCATTTGTATAACTGCAGTAATTTATCTGAGACTACTGTTTTATTGTTAAAAACAAAGATGATAATTGTTAACCAGAACTGATGGTTATGTGCCAGGAATTATTTCTTATCTCTAGGGTTACTCTTGGTTCATTTTCTAGCACCTTTTATGATTACAATATTTTTCTTCACAAATGCATTTTCTTTGTGCAAGTCTCTCTATTTTTACCCTCTGTATCTTTCTCTCTCTGTCCATCAGCACACAGTGACCTATCACATTTTCTTAATTTTAATAGCGTTTATTTTTATGTTTCTATAATTTTTCAGTATTTTCTGTTTACAAAGGCTGCCAGAGACATATTACAACATGCAGTTCTGTTTAGAGGCAAAAGCATTTGGAGAATAAATCCCTCAACCGTAATTTTAGGTCAAAAGTTTATGTGTGTTTGTATTGTGATACTCACTGCAAAAATTGTCTTCCAAATAAACTTCTAAAGAGCAAGATAGTACATATTTTATGTGTTTGCTGATACTAAATATTATCACATTTCCTTGTATATTGTTTATTTATTTTATGGTTCTCAGAGTGATGACCACCGAACCCCTGTGAAGTACCTTCTGAAGCATTAAACAGTATTCAAATACTGTGTATTTATTATAATCACAGGAGTAGAGTTCAATTCATTAAAAAATATGGATGACTCACTTATATAGTCTCTCTAATAAATAGAATCTTAGTATAATCAAAGCATATCATATTGTATGTTACACCAATGAAATTTATTGTGCATCTTGGCTGCTTTTCTCTTAATGATTCATTAGCCAATTCAGTAGCTTTTCTCTTAATGATTCATTAGCCAATTCAGTAGTCAGGAAGATAGAAGCCCATTGTTGTAATTTTTGGTTTTATTATTTGTGTGATGTTAAACAAATTGTTGTCTCATTGTTTTAAGATTCAAACTGTCCTTGTAACTTCAACCAATGTTAAAAAATGTGAGGAACAACTAAAAGTACTTTGAAAATTGTAACACTAAAATTTGACTTCTTTGCAAAATCTGTCACCTTTCAATGTAGTACTCATTTGAAATCTTACCAGAAAATTCACACTTAGTTATGTTGAATATTTGTTGGACTGATTTTTATTCCTTTTCCTGTTTACATTTATGGATGCTCAACTTCTACTGCATGATGATCTGTAAAGATCCCGATAAATAAATAAAACTATGTTTAGTCATTGTATATGCCAAAAATTGTACTTTTTAATCTGAGGTTAAACATTTTCACTTTTAATTTTGTTACAAAAGCCACAAATATAAGTAATATTTTAAAATTACTGGAGATAGTGGGGCAGTATTAATATTTAATTTTCATTTTGTACAGGTATCTATATATGAATATTTGAATTTCTATTTCCTAAAACTGAGAATATGTATTTGTTTTTATTAAAACAATAAATACTTATGATAATTATATTTTGTCTTATTTATACATATTAAAGGTCAAATGAATATCATTGGAAATCAGGAAAAGTGGCCAAACTGAGTAATCAGTCACATATGCTTTCACAAAATAAAGGAACTGCTATTAAGGTAAGAAGATACCATTTAATTCTCAGTCAACTTACTGTACAAGAAGATATTAATTAATTACCTTTTCAAGTTTTATATTATGTTCCATATTACGGCACCTACTATTTTTGATTTTTCATAATATTTTATTTTTTATTCATTTTTATAAGTTAATTTGTAACTTTCAGCATTTATACATATTTTTGTCTTCATATACAATTTGAATTTTAAAAATTTACTTTATGATGATTTTTTCCATCTTGATTTTCTTCAAATTCCAAGTAGATTTTTTTTCATTTAGTTCAGTTCTGTTTCAAAGTACGAGAAATAAAACTACATAGTTCAATATTAAGGTGAAATTAATGTTGTTTGATATAACAAGTGATATATTTTACTTCTATTTTCATATAATTTCACGTTGGTTTAATGCTTTAGATTATGCTTCAATAATAATTACTCATATAATGTTGATTCCAAGTGTGAAGATACCTCAAAACAAAACAAAACAACAACAAAAAACTGTTTCAATTTCCCAGCTATATAATTGCTTTTTTTTTACTCTGCACTGTAAAAATATAACATTGCATTGCATTTAAGATTAAAACCAGGAAAGTGCTTTTATATTTAAAAATGCTATTGTTTCTGAATCCATTAGTATAAAATTCTTGACTTTATAAGTTTTAACTCACACAGCTCTTTCTTTTTTATATACCCATCTTTAAACTTTTGTGGTGTCGGTTGGCACCTACACACTTCTTACTCAGTGCTTTGAAACTTGGCTTCAAAAATACATTTTTATCCTGTAGTGTCATTCCTTTAGTAAGGTAGTTTTCTTCAGGATAGGGGTCAAAACATTTATAATTTACTTTTAATTTTTACTACCTTTCTGTGGTCATGTTCAGATATCATTGCAAGTATAATGCACTGAAAATGCTGACTGCAATTATTGACTTTGTAATTGTTGATTCACTTATTTAATATTCTTTACTGAAAGATATTTTGGTAATACAGAGAGTTATATGGAAGATCAAGAAGTTCTTCATCTAAGGTGATAGATGTGCATGAAAAATATAGTAAAAGTAAATATGTAATTTTTGTTATAATCACTTAGTATATGAGCAATATGTGTTTAAAGTAGTAGCTTAGTTTTACAAATACAGTACTTAAGAGTGTACTTGTATTTGTAAGGCAAAATGATGAGTAAATATAATTCTTATCTCCACGAAGATCCTATTTAAGAAGGAGAGGGTAAGTGTGCAGAAAGGTTACTGCAGAAGGTGGATCTGAAAAGTGAGACTGGGCAGGAGGCAGAAGGCCTTGTATAGATGTATTTTCCTTGGTGGATGGAATTTCCTGCTCCCTGACGGGTTTTGTGCAGGAAGATAGAAAGATTAGGGTGATGATTTCCAATGGTTGATCAAATATTTAGTATGTAGAGGGAACAGACTCTTGTGCAAGTAGTCTCCAAAATGTTTTGGTCATGCATTAATAAAAAAAAAGAGTATAATCTGAGTGTGGGATTCCTGCCCTTGTATTTTATTTATCTATATACTTAAAAATATACTAACATCATATTCATTATAAAACAAAATATGGAAATTAATCAAGGGTGAGTCAAAACAGTTGGAAAGAGAATTTTATAGTCACTTAGTTTAAGTGTATTTCCTTTTTTTTTTCAGTAAGCACTTGTAGCATCCTAAGAGACAGTAATTCAACATCTTGTCCGGGCCAAAGGCCAAAGTTTGTAATGCAAGGTCTTAGGCTTGTTCTAAGACAATTACCCAGTTTTCTGGAGAAGACAGCCTGAGAAGAAAAAGAATGGCAGGAGGAGAGTCAAAGTAGTGCAATTTTATAGAAGATGAAAGTAAAACAGGGCATTTTGAGAAAATATGGAGATATCAAAATTGACTAGTAAATCCTGTAGTGAAAAAATACTCCATATTGATTTAGAACACTGTTTCTCAATGAAACAATTTTTTGTTCCAGGAGATATCTGGCAATGACTGAAAATATTTCCAGTTGTTATTACCAAGAGTATTTGTTTGTTTGCTAAAGGTATGAATACAGGCCAGCAGTATTGATAAATATCCTATCTTGCAAATATCCTGTTTGGCCCAGGATACTGGATTGGGAAACCTTGTTTTAGACCCCATACATTTAAATTCTGACCCCATACATTTAAATGATTCACCCTTGGTGCAGTCAGAGTTTGCAAGGAAAATGGTTACAGGGTACATAATATACAGAATTATTTTGTAATGCTCACCCAAACTGTTAAATACAAGTAGTACAGGACATCTGTCCACACTAAAGACCCAACGAATTCTACTGAGGCCTCAAGTCCCATGACAACATCCTGCATGAGTCCAGCTGAAGATCTAGAGCCCAATGACAATGCCTCATGCAATCTGTTTCATGTGTCTGTGCTGGGAAAGCCCAAAGATCAGCGGTGGAAGCCAGAAAGTCTGTGCCAGCAGCATGAAGGATCTATGCTGCTGCACTGGAGTCAGGAAGTGATGCTCAAAATAAGGATCAGAGCTCCCCAAAAGTGAATTGCAGCCATTCTTAGTGACAAGAAGATCCCAAGCTCCTCTGACAATGAGAACAGCCACGTTCATATTAGGAAAGAAGCTCAACAAGTTCCTCCAGGAGAACCAACAGCAACAGGAGAACCAGCAACACCACAGAGAACCAGCAACACTACCTCTTCCTCTCCAGTTCTCCATTTTTTAGCTGTGCAGAGTCCTCATGTGGGTCATCCATGCTCAGCATCGTGCTGATTCAGTTCAGCTAGTGTTACAAGTTGACCACCAGTTATCAATCCACTACAACCCTGCAATATTAGGCAGGACACTTAACATTTCTGAATCTCTGTTACCACATATGTAAATTTATACATTTCTCATTACCTCATGAAGTTTTGAATAATGCATGATATGATACACATGAAAGTACTTTGTAAGATTACCTGAAAATCCCACTAAAATGTATGGGGGAGATGAGAATTTAAAAAATCTGAATTTACTAATTGAGTCATTGTTAGAAGTGAAAATAGACTTCAAGTATTTTAAGAGGAAGGAGTGTCAGGGAATAACTGAGAACAATTTTTTCAGTGAACACAAGAGCAATGAAAGACATGTTAAGTGCCTGACAACCTCAAGGAAAGATGCTATATTATATTATATTTTAGAACTGAAGAAGTGATGTGAGCCACATTATAGTCTGAGGGATGGATATGCTAGCAGGGGAGAGACTGAAGATGCCTGTGAGAGATGCAGCTATTGTTAGGGTGTGGTTCTTGAAGAGGACATTCATTAAAGAAGCCTTCTCCAAGGAAGAAACAATTTTCTCTGGTGCAAGAATACAAGGGAAAACATATGGAAACACAAGCATATTTTAGAGGCTGTGCTTGAAAAGTGGTAAGATAGGATACTACAGAAAATTTTAATAGGAAGTTTGTCAATATTTTTAGTAACATTAAAGCAAATATCAGACCAGGGATTTAGCTCAGTGGCACAAATGCGTGTCACTGCAAGCGAGAGGTAGTGAGTTCGATTCTTGGTACAAAAATAAAGAAAAAAGTAAGCAAACATGCAAGCAAGTATCATCTGCTCAGTTGAAGGAGAAAAATGATACTAAGTTCTTAGGAATAAAGAAGATTTGGAGTAGCCCTCCTGAGAAACAGAAGAGTTTGTCAGAAGCCAAAGAATGAGTTGCTAAAAAGCCATAAAGACCCACTGGAGTCATTCAGCATGAAGTCTTAGAAAACAGGGCATGGATAAGATGATCAAAGTTAGTACTGAGAAACTCTGAGTTTGGAAGTGAAGGTGTGGTCATTCAGAATACTTGCTTAGATGCAAAGCTTGGCCATAATGGTGTAGTGGCTGAAGATACATATTAATAGTAGCTGTGATATTGGAAGATCTTCAGTATGAGGATAGGAGGTAAAAATGGACACTCAAGTGTCCAAGATTATCAGCCAAAAATGTGGCAAATGTTGAGCAGATTGATGGGATTCAGAGTGAAGAGGATCCTAAATATTGGAAAGGAAACACATAGATAGTAGAAACATTAGATAGGGGACTTTGGTGTATGATGATAGTGGAATAGTATTCTGGAAGCAGCATGCAGGAGCAAATGGGAAGAGCTGTTTCCTTTTTTCCTGGTGAGTGAAAAAGGAATTATTGTCTGTGGGAAGTGATTTGGAGAAAGATGTGTCTAAGGAAAGATGAATTTCAGTTAATGTGAACATGTGGTGGAAATTTTTTAGAAAAGATTTAACATGCGATAGTTCAATTTAATGGATGTTCTAAAGCAGGGAAGTCTGGATGGAAAGATAATTAGTAGATAATTACACAGATTTAGTAGTAATGGGGTTGAGAGTGAGACTACCTAAAATGGTGATATGTGGGAGGATTTGGGTCCAGTGTGGTAGATGGGAGTTTGGAGGCATTGTTAGTGGGAGGGATACTTATGACAGCAGCATGGTTTGATTCCAGTAATTAATATCATATATTTTCCTAGCTTATGCAATTAAATTGGCCTGGTCCCTGAAAGGATTCCTTTAGCACTTATTGGGAAGACATAGGTGGGTTAATAAGACCTAGACTTTAGCATATTAAACTCCTGATATTTTGGAGTTTAATGTATGTGTATGTGCATATGCAAGGATACATTCATACCCTTGATCTAACCTACTCCACTTCCAGTCCTTTCCTAAACAGATAAATATCAGACTTAGAGGAAAATGTTATTCGCCTAAAAATAGCAGTTATCAGTTTTTTACTATAATATTTTATGCAATTCGAATAATTTGAAATATTACTACATTCATAAAACAGAAAAAGACCACCAATAATAAAAAGAAATGATAAAATTTCTCCAAAAATACTTCATTTTGGTTTGGAATCAATCTGTTCTACTTAAGTATTCTAGAAGCATGCTGATCACATTGCATTTCAGATGTATCATTAAGGTAATCACATTGGATAATTTGGCTATGAAAAATGAGCTTAAATTATCTGTTAACTTGTATAACATTACCAACTTAAAGACAAATGTGTGACTCTGATAAAAGTGATTATTTTGATCCTATTTTCTTCTTTGCTGTTTGATACAGAAAACATCCTAGCAGCTACTTCAAATAATATGAACAATAAGTACTTCCTTGAAGCAAAACCATGGAGAATAATTAGGCTTGAATTTTCAAAGTGCATTTGTTACAGCCATAGACACAGAGGCAGCCATTGTTCTCATATCCTCATGTGCAATTAAGTGTACAGATTGTAAATTGAAAACTGGGAATGAATTGACAGTGTCTATGTAAATGCACAGTGATCCTCCATGCTCATTTGTGTATTTTAAATGTTATTTTTAATAAGACCAAGACAAACACTTTCAATTAGCTGATCTGCTTTGTTTCCTATATCCAAGAATTTTAAGTGACTATTTATTTGAAATATCCAGTAGTAAATCTTATTTACTCAATCTTTTTGGTCACAATTTAGGAAACATGGATCATAATAAAGTATTTGAAGGTTAAGACCATGATACCTAATCATTTGCTTCTCCAAATTGGTTAAAAAAGATAATAACATTAGCTTTTACAGTTATGCAAGCAGAGTTGGCTTAGTCAGAATTCAGTTTAGATTTCGGTTTATACAAATCTTAAGACTTTTCATGTTTCAAAAAGAGCAAAGCTATAAGATAAACTGAATCATTACAACACTGTAAAACTGCATTTAAAATCATTTCATGATGATATATGATGTTTTATTTAAAATAATTTATGATATGCTTTAAAATACTGACATATCCCCCAAAATGTATATACAGTTTAGGAAAAGAAAAACTTGTATAAGTATACTAATACTAAATTATTGAGACATCATGAGAATAATACAAGTTACCTTTGTTCCCTGCAATTCCAAGAGGTGCTCAAAGTCGTGGTCATTAGCTTCCAGACATTTATTTCTTTTCCTGAATTGTGCATGCATTTTTGGTAGACTTGGATTAGAATCCAGATTTATATATATAAAATATATACATATAAAATATATATATTTTTTCAAAATTCATTTTGTTTCTGTTCTATGACGTCTGAAATTAAAATTTACGTATACTTTAATGATTATCTATTGATTTTATATTGTTCTTTTACAATGAATTTTTGTACAAGATGTACCCAAATAGCACATCTTCTCAATGTTTTTTGTTAGTAACTTAAACTTTCTTTGGATGAGAAAATATACATGTAATAAATGGTTATCTATTTCATTAATACAGCTTTCTCCCGGTAAAGTGAAATTAAAATTACTGAAGCAGCAACTTCAAGGTAAGCAGTTTGTCAGTAGTTTTTGATGTTAATGACATAATTTATGAGATTAAAGTGCTAGGTCATTCAGCTTAAGATTCCTACCTTTGTTGAGATCCAAATGTTCCCTGAATGCTTATTGTGTTGAAGGTTTAGTTGCTGATTGGGTTTGGGGAAGTGTTTGAGTCACTGAGCTCTGACTTTGTAATCTGATGGAAGCAGGAGATGAAGGGGGGGGGACCTGGGGACTATGGCCTCCTGCTTCCTTCCTTTCTGGCCCCTCCTGCCTCCAGTCTGCTATGAGTTGGGCTGCATTGATCCATCACCTGCTCTATGCTATATTTTGTTTACCATGGGCAACAGAGCAAAGTGAACTTGGACTGACACCTCTGAGAATATGAGTGGAAATAAACCTCCCTTCCTTTATTTTTTCCAGGTGTTTGGTGACAGCAATGAAAAGCTAACACAATTATAAATCTCCAAATGATGACATTTTGATTTTCAGATACATTTTATTCAGATTTTTCTTGGAACTTATTTTTATGTCAAAAATGTTAACTTAGCCTATCATTATAGTAATAACACTCCAAAAATAATCATCACACTGATTTTAAAAGTTTATTGATTAATCTAACAACAAAGAGAATTTATCGGTGTAAAATTATAAACTCAAATATCACTCAAGGAAAATAAAACTACATTGAAAAGTATATTGAAAATAAAAGTATATTGCTTTATACTTTAATAAATTATTTAAAAATAAGATGCAACTATAAATGTTGAATTATAAACACTCAAAAAGAAGAAAGATATATTTTTGGAAGATGAATGAAGTTAATTTTGAATAGTTTCCATAATTTTGTAGAACATTATTAGATATGTTTGTTTCATGTGTTTAGAACTTGTGTGGATTTTATTTTGATACACACAAATAAAAATGCACAAATAACATAGGCAAGATCAATAGCAGGATGGTTTTACTGTTTGATTTTTTTCAGCTCAAGTGAGTTTTAGGCAGAGTAGACATGGGTGGATATGTGTGGCCTCGTGGTCACACGAGCTGCCAGGGTCTGCTTTGTACCCTGCTATGAACTGACAGATTAGATTTGGCTACATAACAATTCTTATAGGCAACTAATATTTAAATACTGTTTGAGAATTTAGAAAAGCACAGTTTCATTATTTTACTAATTAGAAAACTAAACATCATTTTGTGACTGGACTCTAAATTGCTAATGTGGTTCATTTTTTCTTCCAGATCCAGTGAAAACACCTATTAATTACAAAATGGAAAATTTTTCTAGAAGTGAAAAACCCAAGATAAAAGGGAAGGTTTGTGGACAATGTGAGAACAAAGCTGCTCTGCTCGTATGTATATTATAGTAAACAGCTGCCACCAAACTGCTCTGTGGTCTTAGACATCCCATGCTTTTCTTTCATTCCTTTTCTAGACATGCGTATGTTGCTTGCTTACCTACTTAACTAGATTGCATCCTCTCATCCTTGTTTAATGATATAGCTATAAATATTTTCATCTATTTTTTGGTTTCTTTAAAGCTGCTATAGACATTTATATGCAAATCTTTTTTTCAAATTATGTATATTTTATTCTTTTCTTACAAGCTAAACAATAAAAACTAAACCTCAGATAATAATACCTTTTTTCATCTCTCTAGATTTTCATAGGTGCCAATTTCTTCATCATTTCTAAAAATCGTGATAAAGAATTCATAATATAAAAGTTGCTATCATAAGTTGGTTGCAATGTTAAATATATTCACATTATTTTGCTATTATCACCAGTGTCTATTGGCAGCACTTTTTATCTTGAAAAACTGAAACTTTTTACTTCCTGAACAAAAACTCATCATCATCCCCACTCTAGCCACCAGCAGGCATCATTTTATTTTCTATCTCTGAAGTTTGCTTACACTAGCTACCTCATATAAATGGTGTCACATAGTATTTTTTTCTTTTGAAACTGAACTTAGCTTAATATCCTAAAGGTTCAGGGATGTTGGAATATGTTACAGTTTTCTTCCTTATTGAGACCAAAAAATACATTTATCAAATTTTACTTATCCATTTATCCATTGATGGGTACTTGGGTTGTACCTGCTTTCATTGCTTTTGAATGTACACCCAAAAACATAGTTGCTAGATTTGTGCTCTCTTGGCTTCTCTTCATTCAGTTTTGTGCCTCTACTAGTATCAAGGTCGTCAGTGACTTCTTTGAATGAAATCAGTGAAATTCTTTGAAGAATTTGAAGAATTTCAAAAACAATGGTAAATTATTAGTTTTACCATAATTTATTAGAACTATTTGATGAAATATCCCTGTCTACATATGACTCTTTTCACCTAACTTTCTCTGAGTTAAGCTCTCACAGATTTTTACTTTGCAGATATTCTGTCTTTGCCAGTTTTTTGTATTCCTGACATCTAAATTTTGGGGTGCCACCAGCTTCAGCTCTTAGGCCCTTTCTACAGGATATTTATTTTTACTATTTATGTATGTTTCTTGACTATCTTGAATTTAAAGATGACATCTAATTTTTGATTTCCAGATTTAAACATTTATCACATAACTCAATACTGAACATTTTACTCACACTGCCTACGTAGCATTATCTAATAAGCATCACTGACTAAACATGTTCAAAGTCAAGTTCTTGATTTCTCTTCAGCAAACATTCTTCTCCCATAATCTCATAATATGAGTTAGTCCCTGATGATCCTTTAAAAGCTAGCAGAAGCTTGAGTTTCAGTCTTTGGTTTTGTGAAACCACTTCGTACATCCCAATGATATTTACCACCATTTAAATTTGCATCACCAAAATAAGATAAATATTTTCAACTCTGAACTGTAGTATGCCTTTCTCGTTTGAGGGCCTATACTCTCTTTCTTTGCGTGTGTGCTTTAAATTTCTGCCTGTTAAAATCCTTTATGTCTCTTAAAATATAAAACTTGTTTCTTTTCTATTCCTTTTTAAAAAGACATGTTTATTTTCTCATACAATATAAACTTCTTGAGGATGAGGATTTACTTTTCTTTACTGCAGTATGCCAAACACCTATGGATGTGCTTGCAATGTAGTAGATATTCAATAGAAAGTTGCTAAATGAATTTCTCCTCTCCTCTCCTCTCCTCTCCTCTCCTCTCCTCTCCTCTCCTCTCCTCTCCTCTCCTCTCCTCTCCTCTCCTCTCCTCTTCTCTCCTCTCCTCTCCTCTCCTCTCTTCTCCTCTCATCTTTTACCTCCCTTTCTTCTCTCTCTCTCTCTCTCTCTCTCTCTCTCTCTCTCTCTCTCTCTCTCTCTCTCTCTCTCTCTCCCTCTCTCTCTCCCCTCTATAAGTTCAAGCTGCCCTTAAATTCACTGTGCAGGCCAGGCTAGCTTCAGAATTGTAATGAACCTCCTGCCCGTTTCCAAAGTGCTGGAGTCACAAGCATGCACCAGCATAACCATGGAGATAGAGATTTTCCTTCATTTTAGATAAAATTTTCTTTTAGTTACTATAATAGACATTACATATGTAGAAACTTGTTTCCTCCTCCAATAATTTAATGATTTCAACTAATCTTTGTGGTGCAGGTTGCATTATGGTTTCAGAGAATTTATCCAGAGTGATTTCTAATTTAAAGCCTATATTTTTAGGCTTATTTATTGGAAGTTTTTAACTGCGCCTAAAGAGTTACAGTGTTCTACATATAAGAAGGCACTAATAGCAACATTAACCATAAAATATTGGTTCATGAAATGCTTTTTATGTGAAATTATTTTTGATGTTATGATGGACTATAATTTAAGAAATCTTAAACTGTAACTACCTAACAATCTGTAAAATATAAACAAATTCTAGCTATTTCTTTCAGGTGAAAGTACTAAAGCTAAAAGAGACTCATTTGTTGAATTGTTGGTGTCATATTACTTCTCTGAAAAGGGTTTACAGAGGAGCTAGGAGCCAATATTTCTAGGGAATCTTAATGTTGAACACTTCTTGTTTTAACTTAAATTCTCTTTAATAAGTTATATTAAAAAATAAAAGTTTAAAAAACTCCTTTCAATGAATACATAAAATTTACATATTTATGGGATACCATGTGATGTTATGATACATATACATGTTATATAATGTTCAAATAGGGAAATATTTAAGATATGTATGTAAGATCCATCCATTTTCATTCTTTCCTTCATCTGTCTTACACTGTCCAGTCTTTGCTATCTAGCATTCTCCTCTCAACTTCTATGAATTTTATATATTTCACATATGAATGAGATCACAATGTATTTATCTTGCTGTTCCTGGTTTATTGCACATAAAACAGTGATCTCTAAATCCACCCTATTTTACACATACAACAGGATATGGCTGCATAGTAGGCCATTTTGTATACATACCACATGTTCCTTATCCACTCATTGGTTGATGAGTACTTAGGTTGTTCCATTTTCATGTCTAAGCAGTGCTACAGTGAACATGGGTGTGGAGATGTCTTTTTATTTCCATTGTATTGATACTGATTCATTTCTTTTCTATGTATGTCCAGTGTTGGGATTTCTGGGTTACACTGCAGTTCTTTTTTAAATTTAGGACCTCTATACTGTTGTTCACAATGACTATATTAAGTTATATTCCCATCAGTGTGAAGCTTCAGTGTTAAGCTTCCCTACATCCATATCCTCATCACCAGTTTCTGCCTTTAGTCTTGGTAATAATTTTCATTCTTACTGTGGTGATTGGATATCTCATTGTTTTGAATCACATTTCCCTCATTAGTAATGTCAAACACTTTTTTGTTTACTTATTGGACATTTGTATATTTTTTTGAGAAATGTCTATTACCTATTTTTAATGGGGTTATTCTTTTTTTGCTGATGAGATTTTAAAATTCTTTATATATTTTTTATGCCAACCTTTTGTCAGATTTGTGGTTTGTAAATATGTTCTCCCATTCTGTTAGGTTGTCTCTCTACATTGCTGATTGTTTCATATATGATGTGAAAGTTTTTTTTATTTGATGTACTTCAAATATCAATATTTGATGCATTTTCTTGTGTTTTTTTGGTTTTGTTTTTAAATTTTTTTTCTTTTTTGTCTTTTTCATTTTTATCGGTACCCGGGATCGAACTCACGACTGCCTGCTTGCAAGGCAGGTGCTTATGCTGCTGAGCTAAATCCTCAGGCCCTAGTTTTGTTAAAAAATAACAGCCCATTCAAATGTCTTGGAGCGTTCTCTCTAATATTTAATACATTCAGAGTTCATTTTTGTACCCAGTATGTGATTAGAGTCTAGTTTTATTCTCTGCACATGAGTATCCAATTTTCCATTCATCATTTAAAAAAAAACCTGTCTTTTCTCCAATGGATATTTTCATCAACTTTCTCAAAAGTCAAAGAACTGTATTTGCATGAATTGCACTTCTAGCCACAAAGTCTGTTCCACTGATCTGTGTGTCTGCATTTATGAGAATGATATACTGTTCTGATGACTATAGGTTTTTAATATATTTTAAAATCAAGTAATACAATGCCTGCCTATTGTCTTGTTGATTTGGGCAAGGTGGCTTTGAGTTTTGATTCCTTATAAACTTAAAAAATATTTTTCTACTCCTGTGGCCAGTGCTTTTGGAATTTGGAAGAGGATTGCATTGAATCTGTGAATTTCTTTTGGTAGGAAGGACATTTTTAACTGTTGATTCTTCTAATTCAATAGCACAAAATGTCCTCCTACATTTTTTGTGTCCTCCTTGTTTCCTTTCATCATTAGTTTATAGTTTTATTCATAAGATTTTTCACTTCTTGGATAATTTTATACCAAATGATTTTTTGTAGGATTGGCTAATGAGATTCATTTTTTGATTTCAATTTCAGATAACTGGTTATTGGAATACAGCATCACTGTTGAGTTTGTATGTTGATTTTATTACCTGAAATTTTGCTGAATTCATTTATTAGTTTTAAAAGTATATTTATGGATCTTTGGCTCTTTTTCATAGAAGATTATAAAATATGCAAACAGTGGAAATTTGAATTCCTGTTTTTCAGTTTGGATGTCTTTATTTCTTTGTCTTGTCTGATAACTATGGCTAAGGTTTCTGTGCAATGTTGAATAAAATTGAAGTGGGCACTTTTATCTTGTTTCAGACCTTAGAATTCTTTTCGTGTGCCTGCATTCAATATGATGTGAAATTAGCTTTTGACTTATTATATATGACCTTTGCTATGCTGCAGTACACTCCTTTCACATCTATTTATCCAGCAATTTTATCATGATGGAATATTGAATTTTATCAAATACCCTTTCTGTGTCTATTGAGGCAGACACATTTTTTTCTTCCTTCTGTTGATGTATTGTGTCACGTTATTGATTCATATATGCTAAACAATTCTTACTTCGCTGGCAAGAATTCCAATTATAGACAATAATCTTTGTAATGTGTTGTTCAGTTTGCTAGCATTTTCTTGATTATTTTACCTCTGTGTCCACCAGGGATATTGACCTGTAGTTTTGTTGTTTGTTTGTAGGTGTGTTATTGTTATGCACTTGTCTAGTTTAATATCTGGGTAATGCTGGCCTCATAGAATACATTTCAAAGAACTTTGTTGTCTTTAACTATTTGAAATTACTTAAGAGTAGTAGTATTAATTCTTTAAATGTTTAAAAACTTTGGGAGTTAATTTTCTGGTCTTGGGCTTTTCTTTAATGAAAGATTTTCTTACTAGTTGTATTTAATTACTTTTCATTGATATATTCAAGCTTTTGATTTTTTCCTGATTCAGCCTTAATAATACTGTAAGTGTTCAGAAATTTTTCCATTTTTTCTTGATTATCAAGTTTGTTGGTACATAATCATTGATAATAATCTCTAATAATTTGTTTTATTTATTATATTCCTTATATTTCTTTGATATCAGTTGTAATGTTTCTGTTTTCACTACTGATTTTATTCACTGCTAAGGTATAAACAGACAGGAGTTGACCCCAGAAAGCAAATGATCTATTTTTTTTAAAGTAAAATTTTAAAGTGAAATGTTTTAAAGTGAAAGTTTTTTTTTTTTAAAGTGAACATGGCAATTCCAGGTGGGATAAATAAGAAGGCAAGAAAGCAGATCAGAAGACAGTATGTGCAGTAATTAAAGATTTGGTTTGCCTGAAAACTTTTGACACAGTATTCAGGATGTAGGCTTTAAACATTTGAAGAATTTCATTAAGCTAATTAAGCTTTTTTTTTTTTTTTTTTTTTTTTTGTACCAGAGATTGAACTCAGGACCTTGCAGTTGGCGGGCAGGTGCTTAAAGTGTCGAGTTATATCCCTGGCTTATTAATTTTTTTAAAAAAGAATTTTCTTTGATTTGAAATGAAAATAACATCACCTGATAGTTGTCAAAACAATAAACTGTTTGTTAGAATGATTGATGATTTAATGAAATAGACCACAGTACTAGTAAATTCTGAGGTTGTATTGTAGTCTTAGCATCTAATATATAACTATGCTGCCTAAACACACACACACACACACACACACACACACACACACACACACACACACACTGCTCCCAGGGAACATTTTGAATGGAAAGGAGGTGTTCAGAGATTGCAATTTGGCTGTTAGAATCACAAATATCTCTGTTATTTATTTGATCTATAGAAAGATTAAGTCACTGGTTAAGTGATTTTCTCATTTACTGAATGAAATGTACCACAAAATTATTGATAATGCACGTGGAATATTTAACACTATGTGAAACACAAAGACAAGATGAAAGTTTGTGTTTTTACTGTTAGTATATATTTTATGACCTGCTATAGTCACAAATATTGATGGAAAAAACAAAACTTCCAAATTTCTTAATTTTAAAGAGACTTTTAGTGGTTTTAGGTTGTGTCCTCATATCAAGAGTAAATTGTATATTTAAAAATTACATATTAACTTAGCACATTTGTATAATTTAATTAAACTCAAATGAATTCTGAATGCTTAGTGCAGCTGATTTGGTATTCATAAAACAAGCAAAATATTTGCTAAAGATGTGCTTGTGTATTCCATCTGCAAAGATGTATGTGGTGGAATGGAATCCTCATCCTTGTTTTTAGTGTTTCTGCCAGTTATACAAAAAGCCTGAAAAGATTTTCCAGTTAGCAGTTATTTTTACCCAGTTTAAATCCAAGTATGCTTGTGTAACAAAATGTATAAGCTTACTTTGCAACTCTTGTTTTTGTCTTCCAGTCTACAAATACCTGTTTGGCTACTTTCATTAGATTGGTTAACAGTTATTTGGCTTAGAAGTATGTGTTGCAACTATTTTAAGCTCCCTGTCTAACACTACCTTGTAAAAACTGTCAAGTATTTATGAGACATTTATTAAGCTTATTGAAATATTAGCAGGTGTTTAAATAATCTTATGTAGAATACATAAAATCTATATCCACAAAATAATACTAATATATATGTGTGTCAAATTAGTTTTTAAATTAAAATTCATTTTGCATTTACAATTTGGAATTAGCATTTTTAAAATAATTATTTCCCCAAGAAGAGAGAAACATGAGTAGAATGGGTAAAACCAATTCACATGCTGTGAAGAGTATTTGTTTTCTTCTACTTAAAAGGTACAGTTCTCTATAGATAATCACATTTGAAGAAATGAAGATTTTGATAAATACCAGTCAATGCACTCATTTGAAATACTAAATTTTATTTAATTGTGAATTTTATCAAAATTTTTCAGTAAATGATTAACCCTACAGTTATTGATAACTGTTGATTTAGTGATTATGGAATATGTGTCACAGTTAAGAGCTTGAACTTTTAGCCGGACGGTAGCTTGAAGTATCGGCTCCAGAACCATTAGTGTGTAGGACTTTGGGCGAATTCTCAAGCCTTTTGCTCCTTTGCTACTTTGTCTTCCTAAAGCCAGAGAGCGACTGCTCTGAGACTGAACAAGGGAACACTTCTAAGGTGCTGTGGATATTGTTGTTATTATTTCAATTCTGACCCCCCCCTTTTTTTGGTACTGAGAATTGAACTCATGACCTCACACTTGCCAGGCAGGCACTTATGCCACTGAGCTATATCCCCAGCTCTCTGTCCGCATTTTTTTTTGTTTGTTTTTTGAGACAGGGTCTCACTATGCAGTTCAGGCTGGCCACACACCTTTTAATCATTTTTTGCTTTCATAGTTTTGTGTTTAATAAAATTGACTACATCTTTATATATAACTATGTCATTACATATTGACTATCATAGGATGTTCAATGTAACTTTTAAAACTTAATTGGATCAAGAGGACTCATGTTGCATCTGTAATGAGTTCAGTATGTCACAAACATTCTAGTGATTTGTTCCTCAGTGTGGTGTCTGCACAGCAGGAGTGTTACCTGGAGTTTGTTAGAATGTACAGTCTCTGGTCAGTTCTGTTTCAGACCTAGTGAACCAGAACATGGATTGGAACGAATCCCAGGTGACTGATATGCACAATATAGTTGGAGAAGCACCACTGCACAGTTCAGTACAGCACTGACCAGTAGAAGGCAGAACAGTTTCATTGACATCTTGCTAACCTAACTCAGCTGCTTTGTACAGCATTATCTGATACAACGAAGGAAGTAGATTAGAAAACAGTGGTTGGTGTTCTGTGAGGAAGCGAAAGATACTTAGCATACTTACTATGAGCTTCTTGAACATACTTACTACAAGCTTCTCAACCTGGAGTGAAATAAAAAAATGAAGGGTTTAACCATTTGCATGGCCCTTTATCATATTGTGGTGTGTACTGAGAAATGGTACAGCTGCAGAGTAATAATTTCAGTTGTAGCAAAAAGTTCCTCTCTTTTATTTTTTAGTCTTGGTTGGTACCACCATAGATACAGGTATATTGCATTGTTGAATTTATCTGTACATCATAAGATTATTTTTATGTACTATAGAATTTAGAAAATAAATATAAACTTGATCATAATCATTTCATCAGTAATAAGCAATTGCTGACCTTGTGATGATTAATATATTTTTTCAACTATTTTCTTTCCTTTGGAGATACTTATAAGACAACTTCCAGAACTTTATTTTGAGATTGACCAGTGATGGCATATTTTCCTTTGAAGTAATGGAAATTTTTAGAAAAAATAGTATATATATTATTTAATATTAATTATATGATATAAATCTATGCAAAGATAAAAGAAGGGGCCAGGAATTCAGTTCAGCAGCATAAACATTTGCCTGGCAGGCACAAGGTCATGAGTTTGATCCCTGGTACCAAAAAAAAAAAAAAAGATAAAAGAAGAAGATATGAAAATGACCATTTTGACCCAGAGAATTTCTGTTTAAGTATTAACAAGTCAAGAAGTTTGACCTGAGGTTGTTAGTTATTGTATTATTATCATATATTTTATGTGTATGCGTGTATCTAATACTTATATCTTATGCCTGCATTATAACTATTGCATTTATTTTGATAGAAAAGTAATGTTTATGAGCTGGTTTTTCTGAGTTAAATCTTAGTTTCATAGGGTTTTCAATTTTATTATCTAAATATGTCATTAAAAATATGTATGCAAATGTTTTCTCAAACTCATTGTATCATAAGATTGTTTGATTCTAAAAATACACACATCTACTGCATCTTTTGAGGTTTGCCTTGATTGTGGTGAAGATTATTGTTCGGGATGCTTTGCTAAAATACACCAGAAGGGGGCACTAAAGCTCCACAGAACAACTCTTGTGCAGGTATGACTTCCTGAAATGTTTTACTTATAGTATATTTGTAAAACAGTCCAACAAAAAAACACTTAAAGTATTTTTAACTGTTTAGAATTCAGGATGATTTACACTAATTTCTCAAACTCCATTATGTACAAATAATCTTGACAAAAATTTTTAAAATTATTTTTCTGAACACTAATTGAGAATCTATTTTGGTATTTAAACCGTATTTTAATATAGTTCCTGAAGCACTATTGTTGTTGAGTCTTTAGATTAGGCATTTTATTTATAAACTTCAAATTAGACAATATTTTTCTATTGTGTTTTAAAATGAACACATGACTTATTTTATTTCTATGTAGTTTACTAGTAAGAATCTTAAATTTTCTTTTATGTTTCTTTTTAAAATTGTATTTACCCTTGTCTGTTATCATTTAGGTAAGTTCATCTTAAGGTCTCTGCTTTTAATTTCACATACGAGAAATATGTATTTATTCTTCTATAATCATTTCTCTCACTCTTTTAAGTCATTGACCCTTCAAATGCTTTAATTCAAACCTTGTCAAATGGTTATAAAATTCTAGTATTTAATAAATATCATTTGATACAAATGGTATTACATTGGTCACATGCAAGTATATATTTATTTGTCATACGTTTAACTCATTTTACAGTAATATAGTCAACAAAAATCTACTGAATAGCTTCTAGGAAGCAAAATCAATACTACTCAGTGACTTTATACACATTAATATCACTAGGATCTTGCTCCTAAGGACCTGAAGCTAAAACTTGACAACCAAGAGCCATATGTAATAGGTTAAAAATATCAGTATCTTTTAGATATAAGAGAAGAGGTGATGACATCTATATTTACAACGATCACTGGTAAATTTCAGTTTTTACATGTTATCTCCATATAAATAATTCATGCCCAACAGTACACTAATGATCAAAATTATGATAATCAAAATAGCTCAAAATTATATTTTCCGAAACCACACTGAATTACCACTGAATAATAGAGACTTTAGGCAGAACTGAGGGAGGAGGTACAAAAATAACCTGTTCTTTCCCTGCCTCAGAATATGTAACTGGACAATTATAGGAATGGAAGTTAATCTTTGTAGAAGGGCATACAATTGTTATCATATACAGAATTTAACGAAAGGCTTTCCATTTTGAAAGTGAATAATACAACTATTTCACTGTAGGTTCATTTTTGGAATTTTACCTTAAAGATTTGTTTCTTGAGCATATTTTCTGAGCTACCAATTAGTAAATTTATCCACTGATTTGAATTTAAAATAATATGGAAGAAACAAGAAATGAGACGTGGCTTCCCTAATTTCAGTGTCTGAGCTTCAGTATTCTGAGTTTGATTCTCTTTATCTCCTGCCTACCCCTCCGCTACCCTCCCTCTCACTGCTGTCTGTCTCTGTCTCTATTTCTCATTGCACTTTGCTGTGTTATGGTTCACATATGTGAATCAGTTTTCAACCCTGTCACACTATAATAATGCAGATAGATATAATAGGGCTCAAATCATGCTTACTAAGGTGATACAACACACACTGGAATTTCTAAAAATTCAGCAACATTCTACTCCCTGATTGCACCATTAAAATGGATAATTTATTTTATTTTTTTGGATTTTTTTATTTAAAGAGAAAACAAAACAAAACACTAAAAGGGTGAAAGTAATACAGAATTTCAATAAAAAATAAACAGTAAGAAATCACTAGTTAATAAATTACATATTGTCATCTTAGAAATAGTTGATCAAGTTACAAAATCAAGCATACAAAATGGACATTCATACAGTGAAACTGCAAGCAGTTGTGTTCAATGATCCAACAAAAACTTTTAATATGGTCATGTATCTTACACACCTAAACACACTTTCAGTTGTGTCCTTTAGAGCAATTTTTTTCCTCTCTTTTTTAAATAACATTTAAACATTTTTGGTTTTATTATTCCCACAGTTCTTATTACTTTTTTTGGAAGAGAATAAAACCAAATGTGAGAAAACAAAGCAGAGTTGGTCAAAACAAAGGATGGACATATTAAATGATGTAAAAACAGAATACCAGGTAATCAGCAATGGTTACCACAATGCCCCTTGCTACCTTAAAAAGAATTGCCTACATCATCAGTTATAATAAAATTGAACATAACAGTACAGAACAAAACCAATAAAACCTAAACATTGGAGACATTACTGAACTTCAAAAGAAGATAATAGTCAAACCAGAATGGGCATCATAGTGAATCTTATTGCCTTCAAAGTAGTTGCCTATATCCTTAAAATTGATAATATCAAACAGAACAGAATAAAGTAAAATCACTTAAAACAAGATGGTGAGAGCAAACGGGGCTTCAAATCGAGTTAATAGGAAATCAAAAAAGTTATCCTGGTAATTTTAAAAAAATTTTTTCCCTTAATTAAAAAAATAATAATAAATAAAAATTTTTTTGAAAGGGGGAGATTGAGATAAAAGGGGACATAACAGCATGACAATACAGGTCAGAACAGAACAATTTAAGCAACACAGTGTTTCACCACAAGATAACCCAACTTAATAGTAGTTACCATAGTGTCTCATTCCTTGAAATATTTGAGTATAACTTTGTGTATTATAGCATCAAACATATCAAGACAGTGTGAAAAACCATTCAAGAGGATGAAAATATGGTGAGGTATTTAGATCCAGCTAACACAAAACGATCAATGGTTTCTATATTATCTCTTTGCCTGTATAAAAATTTTTGTTTATACTATCATATATAATAAAATCCAACAAGATGCAACATGATAATAACAATGGAGACAGAAGAACAACAATTTAATGGGACTTCAAAACAAGATGATACTAAATCAGCACTAGCTATTATAGTGTCTTGTTTTCTTCAAAATAACTGTTCATATCATCACAGACAGTAATATCTAACAGCCCAGAATGAAACCATTCCAGTTAGTGAGTGAAAACTTTATAAGGCTTCAAACCTCATAATGGGGAATCATGATTACCACATACTTTTATGCATTTGTATTATTTCTTACACTAGGGAGACTATTTGATATTCACACATGTGAGTTTGATTTATTTCACTTATGAGTATGGTCTCAAGTTGCATCCATTTACTTATAAGTAACTCAAATGATCCTTCTTTGTAGCTGAGTAGTACTCCATAAAATGGATAATTTATTTTAAAAGAATGTGATTATTTTAAATCTCAAATATAAGGTTGAAAGGAGAAATGAGAAAATGTTTACTGTGTATATAATCATCATATACATTTTTACAATTAAAACTATACTTTTTAAATGTAAATTTTCTTCAGGTTAGGTAGCACCTTTGCACAAATTTATTGAAACAATTTATTAACGATTTTCATCTTTCTTTGACATAAAATTGACAGGTACCAATTGTATAAATTTAAGTTATACAAATTGACATTTTATTGTACGTATATACTGGAAAATAATTCCCAATATTAAACTAAAGAACATATGAATAACTCCACATTCCTATTTTTATCTTCTTTTTCTTCTCGTGTGTGTGTGTGTGTGTGTGTGTGTGTGTGTGTGTGTGTGTGTGTGTAGTATGAGGTAAGAATATATGAGATACTTCCAAAATTAGATTTTGTAGTATTGATTGCAGAAAAGGAAAGTTTGACAATTCATAAACAGCAAAATGATATTTAAGTTTTAAGTGAATCTCAAACTGGAGAAGCATTTTTCTCTAAATGTAAGCATGAACACATTTTAGATGTGTACAAATCAAAGAGCACGTCAAGAACTCTATCCTTGACATATTTCCTCAAATGCAGGAGTCTTTAATGCATATAAAATAAATGTTAAGCATTGGTAGTGAAACATGTTTCTTTCCTGTTTATATTACTTCTTAGCATTATGTCCCTATATGTGGATGCTGAAGACTGGAGTTGCCACTTGATGATGTCTGGGGGAAAGTTCTGGAAAGTGAATTTTCTAGAATTTAAGTGAACGTTGGTACTTAGCCAGAAAACCCACGGGCCATCTGTGCTGGAAACTAAACCTTATACTGACCCCCCCCTTTTGTATAACTTCACTTAAACTGCTGTGATATGAAGGATTTTGAAAGAGAGAGTATCTTCCAGGCAATTCAAGTAAATTTGCCCATTTAGTTAGAATACAAAATATGTAAAATTAAGGGCTTTTCTTTTTTTGTTGTTTTTTAGATTCCACATGCAAGGGAAACATACAGTATTTTTCTTTCTATGCCTGCCTTATTTAATTTAGCATAATGACTTCCAGTTTGATCCATGTTGTTTAAAATTATATTAGCTCCTTCTAAGGAGTGCTTTTACTACAAGAAAATAGGAAATTCTCTGTATGAGTTGTTTGGGCTTGATAGCTACATGGTTAGTAGTAATGAATTTCTTTCTGCATAGCCCTCATATACCAGTCATACTGTGTTTTTACTTTTCACCATTTTGGTAACTACTGAAGTCATGAGTTTTAGTTGACTGTTTAATTCACATTTTTAACCTGAGAATTTAACAGGACATCTTGTATGTGAATGTTGATCATCAGTATATAAAATGTGTGCATTGTAGTCTATGGCTGTTTTACTTTGTATTATTTAACCTGCAATGCACTTCTGGTTATAAAAAATCATAGCTAAATTTGGTAATTACAAGCTATTTTAGCCCCTGTTATACAGGCCCATTAGTTCTATGATTCAGTCACTGCAGACCATTTTATCCAACATAATCTGTTTTACTTAAAAGACAATTATCTGAACAATTGGAGACAGTTATTATTTTCATATTGACTAACATAATTTCAAAGTGTTTCTTTTGATCTATTATTGATTTATGCATGACAGTGATTCAAAACATTTTTAAGTTTCTGTGCTATCTTCAAGCTCTGTTAAATAGTTAATTATCTGAAAAACAAAACACAAATACATGAGAAGGACTATTAAGTATGAAAATTATAACTACATTTAGATTTTTCACATAAAAGGTTGAAATGA